CAACTGATCGCAATGAAATAGCCATGCTTGCAGAAGTTGCAGGTGTGGATGAGACGGATCTTATAGCGGAGGCATTTGTCAAGGAGGCAGCTCGAGATATGGATGCTGATGAGTCAGTATTTAAGGATGAGGCAGCTGTTGCCACCGCAGTGAGTTTATTTTTGTTGTAGATATAAGCGATGATTTGAATTACGATCATAACCTTGTACCATTGAATATTTTTGTTTATCAACATGATTTAAATCAGTCATATCTCTGGCAAGACAAATACCGTCCACGTAAACCACGTTATTTCAATCGTGTGCATACTGGATACGAATGGAACAAGTATAATCAAACACATTACGATCATGATAATCCACCACCAAAGGTAAAAAAGTCTAGTTTATGAATAGAATGTATTGCCAAGTTTAGAGATTACGCTTAACGGTTGAATACTATTAATTGGAACCACTTATTCAGGTTGTACAAGGGTACAAATTCAATGTTTTCTATCCTGATCTTATTGACAAGACCAAAGCACCGACCTACAAGATTGAAAAAGACGTAGGATCGGAGGATACGGTAGTGATACGATTTATAGCAGGACCACCGTATGAAGATGTTGCATTCAAGATAGTTAAACGAGAATGGGAGTATAGTCACAAGAAAGGATTTCGTAGTTCTTTTGATCGTGGAATATTACAATTATGGTTTCATTTCAAACGACATTTTTACCGTAGATAAAAAGAAAGAGAATGAATGAATCAACGAGAATCAAAATCAAAACCATTACAATTCACAGCAATAAAAAAGCACCCTCGTAACCCTGACCAAAGAATAGACAGAAACCATTCGCTCAAGTGACAGAGGCGCAGCCAAGTGAAACGCGAGCTTTGGAGTTCAGCCACACGAGCTCATCCAAGACTTGCACAAATCAGCGTTTTATTCAACTTGTGTTCATACAGTTGTATTCTTGTAAAGCTGCTCTAATAAATGACTACATCCATTGAGCAGCAATTGTTACCAACTGCCTGCTCTGTAGACATGACTTCTGCGATTGGCTCATATCTCCCTCCACCACTGCCTGCATTCTCTACTTCAACCATGTCTGATCTCTGCGATCCTCATGCTGTTCAGTACTCGAATGCAATGTACAATCGCAGACCTTCTTTGGCACTTGCTACAGACTTGTCTTCTCCACCACTGCTGTCTGACTCTGCTTTCCATGCCAATGGCATCGACAATCCTGTGGACGCGCAGCATCACCAAGCTCTGTTTAACTTTGCCCAGACTGCTGCTGCCAGCATTCAAACTCTTCCTCTGGATTCATCTCAGCTTGCCTTTGCTTCTCATATGGCTGCAAACTCCACAACTCCTACTTCCACAACTGCATTAGGTCGCACAGTCTCTGAATCATTGAGACCCATGCTTCCTGTCACTTCTCAACGAAGACAGTCCATGTCTCATTCTACTTCGCCTGCACTCGACCATCTGCAACAGGACTCGTTTACTTCCAACTCTAATGCTCGTCCAACCATTCCTTACTCCTCCATAATCACCCATGCTATCGAAGGAAGTGCAAGTCGTCAACTCACTCTCAATGGCATTTATAACTTTGCAATGGAACAGTATCCTTACTTTAAAACCGCTGGTTCGGGCTGGAAGGTACATTGACCATTCTATTGTCATTACGCTGTATCCAGGTCTTTCAACTTTGTCAAATTCCTATTGGTATCATGTCTCCAAGTCTTGTTCAAGCTAACCTCTTTTATTTTCTATACTTTTATTCATGACTTGCCATCAACTTCCATGCTCATGTCCTGCCCTTCAATCGTTCAACATCAATCACTCGACTATCTTGTATCAATCTGTTTTACACGCCACATCAACTCTTGGAAATTGATCAACCAATTCACAACTCATACCCCTTGTCAATTCCAACCTTACACTAGAACTCTATTCGACACAACCTCTCTTTAAACAAAAACTTTGTACGAGTTGCTCGTCCTGCAAATGAACGAGGAAAAGGTGCCTACTGGACTCTTTCTTCCACTTCGTTCCCAAAAAAAGGTAGAAGTCGTCATAGATCGGTTAGTGATCCAAATCGCGGCATTGCCCAGGGGATTATATCTTCAATGAAAAATGGCGACGGAACTTCGCCGCTAGAGTCTGGTCACGGAACTCCAGTCTCTCAGTTTGAAGCCATTTCTAACCAGCAATCCATGTTATCTCAGCAGTCTCAGTCGGGTCAATTGCAATCTCAACAGCTTGGATACCATTTGATTCCTACCGAATTATTTCCTCGGGGTTCACCAGATTTTACTGCTGGCATGAATTCATTTGATAAGCATCAAACTATGATGGACCCGCTCCGATCTTTTCAGGACAATCTAAACTCCACTTCAATTTCTGGATCCACTAGCATCCACACTTTAGATAACATCGGTGCCATACACACATCCATTGGTCAACTTGCCAACACAGCAGCCGTTAATGGTGAACCCATCGGGCAGGGTCGCCACCCTTCTTTGCTGCGTCGTCACACGTATCAGAATGGGCGGACATTACCTCCTGAAATCGTTGGATTACGGCGCACTTTGGACGGAAATATACAGTTTGGTTCATCTGGATTATTTGAGTCAGAATATGACAACACTGTTGCAAATGGCGCTATGAATCAGGGAATGACTACACCTGTTGCAGGAACCACTGCCACCATGGAAACAGCCACATCTCCTACCGCATTGGCCAATGCCGCTGTTGCTCATTCTGCAATGCAACAAAGATTTGCTCGTGCACGATCTGCGTCGTTCCACTATCTGCCAGGATTCTTTCCTTCTCAACTGTCGTATCATGATTTGGGATTGGCTCATGGTAACAACCAGGTCATGTACGATTCTCATGGAGCTATGCATGACCCAAAATACATCAACGAGATTATCACAGAAGAAGAAGGTCACACTATGCAGTCTGGAGCAATGTTCCAGCCTAATTTCTTTAATGGAGATCCATCCAATTTAATCAAAAGTGATGCTAACAATCTGAATGTTCGGGTCAATCCTACCGGTGTTGTTGGCAGTGGAGGATTTAATAACCAGCAACAGACATGGTTGGGTGCACCCAGCCAGGAACACAGTTATAACGATCTTTCCATGACAGCCTTCCCCGACACCAATAGCTCTGTAGGTTTAATTAATCCTTCTATATCCCAACAGTCTACTGCTGGATACTTTTCATATCAGAGAAACGCATCAGATCTGGAAGGCTTGTCAGAACTTCCCGAGGAGTCTGAAGTTACAAATATTTATAATATGAAACCCAATGATCGGCAATCAATCGGGGCAGGTGTAGCTGCAACCTCTGCTGCAACAACGTTCAATGAGCAGCGCCGAAACACAGTTTCCGCCATGCCAGACCAATCAGGATTTCCCATGAATCTGCAGCGAAGGACATCATTTCAACAGGGCACGCCCATGTCGCAGTTTGCTCTACCAGGTCATATTGCACAGCCTCCACAGTTGACGGAAGGGCTTGCGGGTGTACCTGGTCGACTGGAGTTGGGTCAGCGTGGAAATGCAGAGGGTTATTCATGGGAAGGTTATGCATAGCCTTTATTATTCCCCTCTATACCTTCTTTCAGCACAGTCACTATAGGAACGGTATTCTAATATGAGGGTCTGGAATAAACAATTTAAATCCGTACTCACGTAAAATGGAGCACTTGTATTCATCTTGCATTGACTGCCTTTATTCTGCCTTGGAATAAACAATGGTTAAATATTCGTTGCACTTGTATAGTTTGACTTGAATTCTTTAAAACACAAGACTCAGAATGCAAACTGAGATTGGGTTGGACTGAAAACTGCCGAACCCCATATTTGGACTGCAATGCATGACTTCCAAACAAGGATCATCTCATACGTTCGCGCTTTAGCTTGAGAAACCCAGATGGTACGGTTCAGGAATGCAACTACATGCCGATTATCACGAGAAAGAGCAGACCACAATATTTCCCAGCAATTTGGCACCCATCATTTCATGCGACTGGCTGTTATTATGCATTGACTCCCTTGTCAGCATTACATGTTACATAATACGGCTGTACATGCATCTGATATTTTGAAACACTATTTCTATAGCTATTCATTCAATTGTTTCATTAATCTGTTCAGATGTACACGTCTTGCTGGAGAGCGAATCTGGCAGATAAACATCGAAACCTAGAATACATACATCCTGCATTCGTATTTGAGCATCTGGATATGTTCCCAGTGGAGTTTTAAGCTGCGATACATTGATGAGTGACTGACTAGAATTGGTAGCTCTAAATATGGCAGGTAGTGTTTGTCTAAAAGTAAATTGCATATCCAGATAAACCATTTCAATGCAAGTCAATTAGAACATGTAAAACAGTAGAATGATTCACAATGATCTAAGCATATGCAGTCCATCTCATAGTATCGTCTACCAGGCGACTCAACTTACCCATCTTTCAAGGTGATGTCGACAGGCTGAGGATGGGTTGAAATCAATCCTGCCCATAATCGAAGATAATTGTGTCGTAATAGGTTTGCTTGCTCATCTGTCGTTTCTATCTGATTATGCATGTTTTGATTGTCTGCATGTGCATTGATGCTAGTTGTTGCCATGACTGACCTTTTCATTGTCAAGCGACGATGTGAATAAGAATAGGATTTTTTTGGTTAATAAAAAGTTCTACTTTTATATTTTGAAACCATTCTGATGGTATTAAACAGACTGTTGCAGCATTTCAACAACAGGAATTCCTTGTGAAACTGCACGATTACTTTAGATTAGCATATACTATAAATGGAACGCTGAATATTGTATCATAACAAGACCAAATGAGTGATGTTGTTTTAGACTGAATCAAGAATAGCAGATTACTCGACAGGTCAGATTGTCGTTGCAGTATAAAAGACACGAGCAATAAATGCACATGCCATTCAAATCAATAATCTACCAGTGAGTCAACATCACCAAGAATGGTAGTTGCTGACCATTCTCATTTTCATCCTCATTGTCGCTAGTTGTGAGCCGAGTCAAAGCACTAAAATGGTCAATTATCCCACCACATGTTTACATCAGCCAACATCGCAAAGTGTGACTAATGAGTTTGTGAATGCAGCAAGATCTGATTGTACTTTAAAGCATTTTATAATTGTTGGTGTCATGAGTTGATGACGATATATTTTAATTAAATCAAACATGGGCAGCCAAAGTGTAATTTCAAGTTTATTGAGAAATACAAGCGGATTTTAATTCCTTATCATTTCATACTCGAGTCGTAGATTTGATATCTAAAACTATGAATCCTCGACTTCCTCAGCGCTCCAACGATGAGTATCAGTTGGGTTCACCAAGTCTGAACCGTAGAAAGCTCTTGCAGACTTCTCCCGATTCTACGCTCCCATTATCCAACAATGCTGCCAATTCCGCCTCGTCCATCAGTCTCAAATATGCTACTGCTGTCAACAGTAAACCCAGTGTAATTCCTAATGGTTCCATCTTTAATGCAATGTATTCCAGTACTGGTTTGTCTCGCCACAACTCTATGGCTGACACTCACGGGGTTCTGAACGCTACCCAGAGCACAACTAATACATCGCATGCCGCGACTTCCGAAGCTTGCCCTCCATGTTCTGCCACTATGAGTCCAATTACCAATTTAAATAGTCCAAGTAATACTGTACCACTTGTCACTGCTCCAATCCATCCTCCTTTGGACCAACTGGATCGTGTCGACAAGTATGTCCTTGAAGAGCCCAGCAATATAGTGCACCTTCTTCCATCCATTGCATCATTTTTAGAGCACATGTGTATTTCTAATCCCGAATCTTGTAACCAGATCTGGTCAACTTTGAAACCTCTTCTTGAAAATTTACAAGACAAGGAGCGTGCTACAAAACAATGCCATATCACACGACCACCATCACCAATATGTGAGCCAAAGCCTTATTCTTTTCAAAACGTGCATGGAGAAAACTGGCATGATGATTTTGGGTGGTTAAATGATCGATCCAACCAACAGGTGTTGGATTATATTGAAGCTGAAAATCAGTATTCTGAAAAAATACTAGAAGATACAAAACCGCTGCAGAAATTATTATACAGGGAGTTTGTTTCTAGGTTAGATGAAAGCCAAGAGTCTGCAAAAGTCGTTCTTGCAGATGGATGGTCATACTATTCTAAAAAGGTTTGTCATGATTAAATCTATGCATTAAGCCAAACTGCATTCGTGATGTGCTACGTTTGATGTAAAACTCGAGTCAAATCATTATCTCTGTATACCTTTGCAAGCCTGCTCTTTAACATGTCATCTCACCTGTTTTTCAGATTCCTGGAAAAGAATACAATGTTCACTGCAGAGTCAATAACCAAGGTGTTGAGGAAGTTTATTTTGATGAAAACGTTTTGGCCAATTCGGACGAATACAAAAACGCATCTTTTTTTCGTGTTGGGTTTTTGAAACACTCGCCTGATGGATGGTTGATAGCTTACGGCATTGACTCTTCTGGAAATGAGCGTTATACTGTCTCATTTATGGTGGTTGAAACTAAAAAGGTGTTTTCGGATCAGATTAAAGATGCATATGAAGATTTCGAGTTTTCTCATGATGGATCATGTGCATATTATACTGTCTTGGATGGCTGCGAGCGTGCTTATCAACTCAGACGCCATTGTATCGGCACTCTAGTTTCCAATGATGTGATTCTCTACGATGAAGCTGATGAAATGTTTTATCTTTCGCTTACAACTACATCAAACGGCAACTACATCATACTGAATTCTTCTGCACAAATCACCTCAGAGGTGCGATATATTTCAGCCCATGACAACAATGATCTGCCCCATCTACTGTTTGCACGTCAAGAGAATATCCAGTATATTTGTGATAGCCATCAAGATTATTTCTACATTCTTACCAACGAAAATGGAAAAAACAATTGGTTATATCGTATTCCTATAGTATCCAATTTGAAAACAGACACGGCTACATTGGAGGATCTACGTTCCCAGCGAGAACCTGTTATTGAGCATCGTGATTTTGTTCTAATTGAGGATTTCCAACTACGACAAAACCATCTCATTGTATTTGAGCGATCTAATTGTTTACCAAACGTTCGCATTGTTGATATTACTACTCCAGGGTTTTCAAACTATCATTACATTGGGTTTTCAGAAGTGGTCTACTCTTTGCTTCCAGGTTCATTGGACGAAGAGGTTGCTAACCTGACCAAGATTTCGCAATTCACCACCAATATTTTGCGCTTTACCTACACATCGTTTGTCCAACCCAAACAAGTCATTGATTATGACATGGATAAGCGCACCATGTCCGTTGTTCACGAGGAAAAAGTGGGTGGGTTGGCTGGGTACGATCAAAACGCATACAGCTCACGACGATTGTTTGCTACAGGAGTAGATGGTACTGCGATTCCGATTTCTATTGTATTTCGACGCGATCTTTTGGGTATGAATATGAATCCGCCGCAGCTTAATCCAGTTCTTCTTCATTCGTATGGTGCGTATGGGTCTCCCACCAACCCAGTGTTTTCGTCATCCCGCTTGTCGCTTTTGGACCGTGGCTTTATCTATGCTATTGCACATATTCGCGGCGGTGCTGATATGGGAAATGGGTGGTATGAGGAGGGAAAATTGGCAAAAAAACCCAATACATTTTACGACTTTTGTTCCGCTGGTGAACATTTGATCAAAGAAGGATACACCGATTCTTCAAAATTGGCCATTTACGGTCGGTCAGCAGGCGGGTTATTGGTTAGTGCTGCTGTTACAATGCGACCGGATTTGTTCGAGGCAGCATTGACAGAAGTACCCTTTGTAGATGTAATCAACACCATGTTTGACTCGACCATTCCATGGACTGCGTTCGAGTACGAGGTAAAACCTTTGTCGGTGATTTGCTTTGTAAAATGAGCTATTTGAATGGATCTAATCCGGCTGTACCCAATTCGTGTAGGAATGGGGAAATCCCAACGATAAGGAAATTTACAACGTGATGAAAACCTACTGTCCATACACAAATGTTAATGGTGAGCGTCTTGCAGACTTTCAATGTCCGCATCTTCTCGTTATCGGGGGAATGAATGATCCTCGTGTAGCCTTTTTCGAACCTCTTAAATGGGTTGCTAAAATGCGCAATGAACGGCGCAAAGTTCTTGCGGCACGCAAAGCTGTACAGCTGACAGCTGAAATAGTAGATTCACCAAACTGCAATCACAGTCTTAGTCCAAATCATAATATTACTGGAAGTGACGACAGCAATCTTTCCCATACCAGCGCTGGCAACATTCATACAACACTTTCCCAAACGGGAATTTCCAATTTGCAGGGATGCAGGGACAGTAGCAGGTTGGTGGCATCGAATGTTCAAAAATCTAAAAATGAACGCATGCTGCTGCTTCGTATTGACGATGCAGGCCATGGAGGAAATTCTGGACAATACTCGTATCTGGAAGATCTAGCGTTCAAATATGCGTTTTTGATTTCTACTCTTGGTGCATCAACCAAGCCGTTTCATGTTGGTAATGCTGGAGCCATTCCTTTTGAAACTACTCTTTCGCCCGTGTGTATTCATGATGACGAGCCTGGCCGTGGACAGATTATGATGGTTCAGGGTGACATGCTGCTTGAACAAGCTGCTTATGCCAAGATTGAATTGGCGTCAAGTAAAGGAGATGGTACGTGTACTGACAAGCTGGAAGACAAGGAGCGACGTATATCTGAATGCAACATACGCGAGGGTCGTAGGGGTAGAGGCAATAAGGATGATGATGACAAAGGCGCTCACCGTACTAATCCGAAAAATGATCGTGGCCAACGCCGCTTGTTTCAATGGGTCCACAACTGGTTTTAGCTATTTAAACATTGCAGTTTGTCGGAGCTTGAATAAAAACTGGACAAATAGGCTGAAACCACAATTTATAGACACCGAGTCTTTTATTTATTTAAACCTGGGCAATTGGCATTTCATCCAGCCATCTTTTCTAGAGTTGCCTTTGCAGCGACCATCAATCATGAAATTATATGAAATTTAGCTGTTGAAAAAGTATATACCCATCCCATTTTTATCATGATTTGGCCTTACGTATCATGAAATCTTGATGCAGATATATCCGAATGGTAGTCATGGTGAAGTTTATTAAACACGACACAAACCATTGCCCTTGGTTGTAAAATTATCAGTAGCATTGATTGACACGAAGGGATTGATAAAGTGGCAAAGCCCTGTTCATATTAAACATATTCAACCCCCTCATTTTGCTCTAAACACTATATCCCTCATGTATGGACACTGCTGTCGGTGTTTTTCCATAACCCAATGTATGCTCAGTAGTTGGCTCTGGTATTTTTTTACCAATAACTTGCTGAACTAGGGCCTATTTTATACTCTTGGAAACAGTTTATCCAATCCGCCTACAGCTTCTAGTATTGTTCTGGACAGTATGTTAGAAAGTGTTTACACTGGTTTCCAAATTGGAGATTTATTCCGAATTATGCTCGCATCTATGCTAATTCCATGTAAGATCTCGACCAAATATAAAGACTAAACGATTGGGTCCAACCCTGTCCATCAAAGCCAATGAACTGTATTCTAACCTATTTATATGTCTTGTATCACTGACTATCGCATCTAATTCTTTTAAACCTCGTTGAACTCGGACTGCTCAACTCACGACTCGGCAGTGCCTATTCACGTCACTGCACATTCTATTTCTAAATCAAGAGGCATCACTACCACATCTACTCGCTTTGGCAGAAGATCGACGGCAAGTCGTATAATACCACGCACATTGGCTACTAATACAAAGACACAATCCACTGCTTCACCGACACATTTAAGCGTTTCCGAAAGTCCAGTATACTTTTATGGTACATCAAATGGTGGATACGGAGTAATTTCTTATGTTCCCATTTGTGCTGCTGGCCAGTCAGGCATCATTATTAGCACAACAAGTGGTACTATTATGCCATCATCTAATGCACCTCCAAATCCAAGGGTAGGAGATTTACAACTGTAGTTGAATCTAATTTGGATGGTGAAGCTAATTCAATTTTTGACAAACTTTGCATTACACTGATTATCAACAGGCAGCTTTTTGTGCTGCCAACTCTACTACTGGTGCACGGTTTAAAGGAATAGGGTTGGATGAGTCATCTAATCAGCTGTATATCCTATACAATGGATCATTAGGGCAATCGGTGTCTTTGGTCAATACTACAACCATGGATGTTTTGTATACAGGCAAGATTGATTCTCAAATTGGGGAATGCACTTCAATAGCAGTGGCAAAACATGACACTATTCCAACCTCGATCGTTATACTCTCTTCAGCTAGGGGATTGTGGATAACACCGACGAAGAGTTTTGAATCTGGAGCATATACACAGCTCTCTCAGTTTCTAGCTGATCAGACTCCAGTTGATATTGCATCAAGCAACAACTACGTGTACATAGTTGGAACTGTGGCTCGTTTAAATGGCTACTTTATCAAACAAATCAACGTAGCCGACTCTTCCAGTATCACTTTAGATCTCGAGATACTCACGACCCGATTTTTAGAAACATATAGATATCTTGCAGATAAAGCTCAAATGACTAGAAAGCCTATACAAGTGTGCAACTCTATCGTGTACATGTTTATGGTAGACATTAATGGTCAGGGACTTGTCATTAGATCCTATACCCAACAGCCATTTCAAATGCTTGGCCAGAATTCATTGTTGATATCATCTGCAGACACTGTTGTTTCAATTTCATGTGCATCATCCTCCACCACTTTTAATGATGCATCTTTTTCTGGAATATCCATCCTTGTGCAGCCAGCAGACCAGAAAGAATTGTATATCATTAATGTGGACAAAGAGACACGTGCTTCTTTCAAAAAAACAGTTTCCATTGGTTCCAAACTCGATTCTCAAAACAGCATCAATGAGTCTGTCAGTACAATTGGTCTTGCCACGCAATCTACAACTTTCTCTATGGGATTACTGCGCATTGCCAATTCAGTAGTTAATACTTGGGTTGTGGATTTGGTAAATGGCTCATATCTTGCTGATATCACTCCAAACAAAACCAATTGCGACACTGGCCATTTCTTTTATCCTTCAAAAAATGCGTGTGTGTTGTGCACTGAATTTGAAAATCCTCCTAGTTTCTGCTTGAAACCTCAACTCCAGCGATCCGTAGCAGATTCTGGGCCATCTGGGTTCAAGTCACTCAGTATACCAGTGCGAGTGCTAATTATCATTGGCGTACTGTTATTAGCATGCCTGATTATTGGGCTTGCGTTAAAGTATTTAATCTACTACAAAAAAACCCTTGAGCCACGCGAACAGTTGTTGGATTCTAGCTTAAAGGCTATATCATGCCAAACAGTCGATTCTTTGTCTCAAAGTGAGTCCACCTCCTTCAATACCGATTCACCAGGTAAGGAAACGTATGTGGCAGTAGAATTAAATGGCGTACTTGGACTATCAGAATCCAAAGAAGCTGGAAATAAAAGCGAATCTGATCAAGAGTCGCTGAATCGATATGCAATGGACGAGTCCGTTCCACCTGTGCTTCGCGTAAAAACCTTTGGGGCATACGACTTTTTAACAGCTGATCTTGATGCTTCAATCGATACACTAACTAAAAAAGCTATTGAAATGGGAATGAAAGTCGAGACTGCTGATATGCGTTCTAGTTGTATTGCACTTGGAAGCATTGACGGATTCTTACAAAAAAGAGTGTCAATTTCAACAGTTGACCCAGACAGGTCAATTCATTCAGTATATGTGGAGCAAGACTCGGCTCATGTATCACCACTAGGTTAGTTTGTATTTTTTAACGTATTTTCACTATTTTCGTAAACTTACTCTTTCAATTGCTTGCGTTAATAGATGTCTCGGTGTTGAACAGTCCTATAAAAAGCTCGGATAATTGTGAAATGCACAATGATACATGCTGCTGTTTTTCAAAGCCTTTGCCTTTAAAAAGCTGTCCACATTCCACGCCATTTTCAACTGATATGGAAAGTGAGACTGCCAATCAAAATCACACACACGTTTTGGATATTGCATCAGCCAAACCGAATCTAGCCAACCAAGGTTCCAACCTTGCTCATGCTGACCATTACAGTAACACACTAAATGCTCGATCGACAACCTCAATTAATGACGACAATAATCACACACTCGAGTCTAGCCTCGTATCTCAGTTTCCTCTTGATAATCTCTGTCAAAATAAATCAAGTCTTTTATCTGGAGGCCATGATACACAATGCGTCGAAAGATCCTCGTATGAAACGCATATTTCTCAAAAATCTCGTGGACGGTCTTTCAGTGAAAACAATGAGTTGATTCGGCCAGCATATGCTACGACTGACGATGATGTGCCTGTAACATCATTGAAGAGTATCAAACGGCTTTCATCTCAAGTGGATATCGAGTCTAAATGTGATTCTGATAAAACACCGATTTTGATCAATTCTGATCCACAACATAGTCTAAAGCCTCGACATATGAAGACTGTTTGGCGACGTAGCCAAAGTTTTCAGTCTTTACGTCGAACTGATGTACAAGGAAGATTTCATGGTCACATTATCAAAACAGCACCCAAGAATGCAATATTTACATTGAGGTCTACCAATATAGAATCGAATTCTATCTCAAGTCCGTCTGAATCCATGTTATCATCAAATCAGCTCTTGACTAATAGAATGACTGCATCTAGAATATTTTCAGATTATACGGATACTGACGATGAGCATCATTCACCGAGAGTCTATGCGCGTCTGATGCGTAGTTGCTCATTTGGACCATTGAATCTAGGTGAACACAGTGATGAGTCGTATCACTGAATCAATTATTTCCAATAAATTGCATTTGTGCTCTTGATTCCCACTCATCTTTTAGTGCTCGTTCTGTATAAAACCAAACAGAATCTCCAAATCCAGCATTAACGAACGCTGAGTTTATTCAAGAGTCGAGAATATCAAAATCAGTTTCCAGCAAGCACAACATATTTCAAGCAATGACTGCAGAATCACAAGTGTTTCGTTTTACGTGAACACGGCGAATTTGGTTCATTGACCTCGAGTTCATTGAGCTGCCTATGGTTTTGTTGCCGGATACCTGAATACTTATTCCATACTGCGCTAGTCTACACCTTGTAACAATGAAGCTTTTATCAAAACATATTGAAAGAGACTCTTCTGGAACTGTCACTTTGGTTCCAGAAGAAGGCGAGGACATGTGGCATACATACAACCTGCTTTGTGCTGGGGATCAACTCAAGGCATCCACTGTTCGGTAGATGACTTATGACTGTACATTCTGTGTTGGGTATAACGTCAGGATACTCATCCAAACCTATTGAACTTGTCTATAGTCGAATTGTATCAGAGAGCTCTACAGGCAGCACTGACAAATCTTCGGTTCGGATTCAATTGACTGTGTCTGTTGAAGATGTGTATTTTGATACTCAAGCAGCCGTACTCCGAGTCAATGGCAGAAATATTGTTGAAAACAAACATGTCAAGGTATTGCATTTATGTACTGCATATCCATACTGGAACCTTGAACAGACAGAGACTTTGATTCTCATTGATTCATCTGACTGATGTTTCTATATTAGCTGGGTGCTTATCACACTATTGATTTGGAGCTCAATCGACCCTACACACTTGGAAAACAAGAGTGGGATATTATTTCTCTGGAGCGTATAGAGAATGCATGCGATGTATCCAAACGCGCTGATATTGCAGCAGTTGTTCTTCAAGAAGGATTTGCAAATGTATGCCTGGTGACTGAAAACATGACAGTTGTTCGACAGCGAATAGAAACTAATATTCCTCGAAAGCGACGAGGCACTACGACCGATCACGATAAGGGGCTCAATCGCTTTTATGATCAGATCATGCAAGCTGTTATTCGTCATGTTGATTTTACTATTGTCAAGGCATTGCTGATTGCTAGTCCTGGGTTTGTCAAGGTAATATAAACCAGCTTGATTTGTTTTTATGTTGAATGGTGTGTATTTACTAGTCACGTCATGATGTTTAATTGGAACAATGTGTGCAAGATCTGTTTTATCTGATCTAGTTGTACCAACACTGACTTGATTTGTGAATTTTTATGGATAACGCAGGATAATTTTTACAAGTATTTGATGGAGAATGCCATCAAAATGAACAGCAAAGTGCTTTTGGAAAACAAGAGTAAAATTGTGCTGGTTCATTGCTCATCGGGTCATAAGCATGCACTAGCTGAAATCCTGCAGGAACCTGCAATCCAAACTCGACTAAGTGATACAAAATACGCATGCGAGTTGCGTACTCTTGAAAACTTTTACAAAATGTTATTTAATGAGCCCGCCAAAGCATTCTATGGAGTACGCCATGTTTTGAAAGCAGCAGAGCGTAATGCGATTGCTTCATTGATGATTACTGATGGATTGTTTCGGTAAGATGCCGAGTCTCTTGATAGATATTGGTGTAGCTTTGTTTATGGATTCACCTTTTATGTGTTTACAGTTGAAAAACTGAATGATACTATTTACTTACTATAATCACACTATACAGATCTGCTAATGTAACGGAACGAAAGAAATATATCAACCTGGTTGAAACGGTGCGTGCAGCAGGTGGAAATGTGTTGATTTTTTCATCACTTCATACGTCTGGAGAGCAGCTTACACAGTTGACTGGTGTTGCAGCCATATTGCATTTTCCATTACCTGATATTGAAGAGGAAGTCGAAATAGAGGAAGAAGCTGAACGGCGTGCAGCACAAGGTGTTCTTGGACCACGACCAGAGGATGATGATGTTGAAGAAGATCTGACAATTTCGCTTGGTTCTTGAATTGTGTTTTTTAACAATTGAAGTATTGATTGCATTTACATTTATCCACGTAAAATGGATCACTAAATAGGTGCCAGAATACATAATAAACGGCCAATCTCATGTCATGGTTGTTTTCAATGCACTAGACAACGTTGAGTGGTATTGCTGGTGGTGATTGGCATGCATAGTTGCATTACTGATATGTGATTCAGAATATAACAAATGTGTGTGTACAGAGTTGTATCGACGATATCAAACCAGTCAAATCAACATATGAATTGCAATGCAGAATCCGGTGATCGTATAATTTATAACGACGCCAAATGTGGAGAAAGTGATGATCGGTATGTTTATTGAACCGTCAATTTCTAATAGAAAATGTGAATACCTAACCATTGTCTATCCCAAAGTAAAGTAGTGACAATCACCAAAATAAATGTGTTTCATTTTACGTGAATGCATTCAAAATTGAGATTCATATTCCCGCATAGTAAGAACTGAGAAATACTATTGCAGCTATTACTTGCAAAACAAGAGTTTCCACAACTATTATGCTTTAACTCGAGTAGATAAAGGAGTTGGGAAATGTAACAACTCAAAAAACAGTCACCATGTTTAGTGTCTGTTCAAGTTGATGATGCGATAAACCAAGAAATACATCAAATCTCGGTAAATACTGTCACACTTTCCAGGTTGCTGAAACTCGCATTACATACAACTCGACACGAATGACAATGTTGATGTCGAGACTATCAATGTATTACAGTGGATTGTTTAACAGTGACTGCAATCAATGACAATGTTCCAGTTCAATCCAATCCATGTGTTGATTGGAACAATTCACATCCACTTGTCAGATTCAGCATGCCAATGCATGCTTTGTGGCATATTTACAAATTCAATAATTGAGTATTAAAATGATGATCTGCAACAATTGAGTTGGACTGACCAACAATCAAAATGGAATCTAAACATGTGTGTATACACAATCTGACGGTGTTTGAATGGTTATTTAATCAGGTCAGTCGTGTATACAAGTCTGACATGGTCATGTCAAGTCGAGACAATGGTTGCATTACAATCAAGCTCAATCTGAACATTTGATATTACAATGTTGAGTAAAAGACTTGATCCGAGTCATTATATGAATGTTGTAATCAATTGAAATGATAGTATTGACCAGTTGGATTGAATTGACAATTGTTGATCTCATTGTCTTGATGAATAGACTATTTGTCTAAAATGCCAAGATTCCAAACCTATTTGGAATTGCTAATACTGAACAATTAACGAGTCCAACAGTCTTTTAAAAGTAAAAAGCTTCTTTCCCTTGTATTTACTTTTTATTTCATCATTTCTAATACTTTCAACAGAACATCAACCAAACCCAAGAAAACGACCAATCAGTCAAGTAACTCCAGAATTCCCTTGTCTGCCTCTTTCATCACTAAAAGCAGTTCAAGAGTTTGCTAAAAACCACAAGTAGTGCTGAATCCAATCCCTTGTATTCCACTCTCATTTTGTTTCTTCCTTTGATTTCTCCGTATCACCTTCAGTACAGGTTTGATGTTGGTAATGAAGGCTGTATGTGATTATGTGATAGTCTTACACTGCTTTAAAAAATCAAGTTATTGACCTCGATAACAAGAAATACTGGGATTGATGTTTGAGGTCCTGTAAGAGTTGGAGAGAGCTGTCTGCTGATTATTGCATGAATCGATCAAGATACAGAGTCACCTGCATCAATGATTGTGCCGTGGGGAGACATTGCTCTTATTATTGCTTGTTGAATGAGCCTGTAACGACATTCTACAATGACTCGTTTGATGGGAAAACTATTGTGGGTTGGTGCAAAGCCGTCGTCGAATCAGAAAAGCAGGAAATGATGGATACTCTGATTCCATACATCAATACCAGGAATCTTCAACAGATTGTCATTTTCAACCAGCACAATGCACTATTTAATGCATCTGTTGTCAAGAACTTTCCATTCAACATCATCAGTACTCTTGCTGATAACCGTGAATCAAACATCAAACTCATTATTTCAGCATCAGTCAATAACGATGGATATCATACCAAAATGAAAGGATGACATACTCGATATTTCAAACCACCGATTTGAAGATGGTGAATTCAAAGCCTGGTGTGCTCATTACTTGCTTGAAAATGTCAAGATTGAGCATAAATCATTACTATCTTGAATTCCGTTACTCGCGAGGTATTGCTGGAATACTATGGTAAAAATCTTGCGACTCCTTTTGGATCTGTTGCCGAGCTTGTTTTGAAGGGGCATGATTACACCAACGATGCCAAAGTGAGAATCATTCAAAAGTATATCACGACTATGTTGGAGTTGTCATTTATTTCCACTTTGATTGAGCAATACTACCAATATCGAATTTCCAACTGGAAATCTTGTTCCAAAGAACGATCAAATCGAAAATACTGCTTATTTCTTTGGAAACAAGCTGCCTCCAAAATCATCATTCAAAAACAATGCCACGACTCTTCCAAATCTCCGAACCATTTTGGGTTTGATTATTTCATTTGGAACCCAACTGATGGCATTTCAAGTGACTATCAAACAACCATTTACACCCCATCCCAAAACTGATGACTGCAAGACGTGATTGGATATGTGTTTTGGCAGTTTGAATCAAAACCTAATGCAAGTATATTGGATAATTCCAAAATGTACTGGAAACCTCGAGAGTCTCGGATCATGTTGTTTTTGACAATCTACAGTGATTTTACAGCATTGAAACACTTGGTTTTTAAAGTGGCATTTGATTGCTTCCTGTTTGGATTCGATATGATTCTGAATATGTTCCAATTAAACCATAATACACGGCGAAATATCACAAGTCAATGTGATTAGAAATCGGTTATTTTTCATTAAATAAAACCATACACATTCCACTGCTAAAGCTATCAACAAGAATTTTGACTTTGATGGTACAGGCCAATCCAAAATAGATATGGACCAAACGTTTGCTTTCCATTAATCTTGGACACAGTAAACGATACTCGCCACTTTGTTTGGTGTGACTGATTCAATCCAGTTTGGGTTATTTAGGCTTTTCAAATGCAGTTTGATCAGCAGTGCAGTTGTAGACTGACACTTGATTGAATCGATTGTTTTTGTCGGTTTCAAAAGCGTATTGAACCATTGTGACCATTAAAAATAATGATTGTAAATGGGATTTATTTTGGGACGAGTAGTATGGTTTTGCACACAATGTTGGTCGATTATCCAAGTATCGAGTACATTGTTATTCAGATCACTACACACAAGTCATGACCAATACAAATACATTACTTCTGACACCATAGATGAAGTCAGACAGCACAACAAATCACCAGCATGCTATTGACCGTGTTGTAATACAGCTGACCAACATATCATGCTCATCAAGTCACGACATTCAATATTACTGACTGAACACAAGTCACAGCTGCAAGTATCCATGTGGTAATGGACTGACATTGGTGTTGATATCCAATCGATTGACTAATCGATCATCATCAATTGAATCAGTGACTGGTATATGCAACTGATATACACCATATTTGAGTCTGATACATGTCGATATATGCGTGTCAATCAGCAATGCATATTTATGGCCATTACAGTTGAATGTGACCACAAATTGTATAAATGTGAGTCGAATCGATCACTAAACCAACAAACCAATGATTGCAGTCTAAATGTAGTGCGATTTGATGCGACATGACAATATATTGTTCAACAGGTTCAACATATACAAACGGTAGCAATGACCAACTCAAACCAACAATGACCGAGTTACACATCAACATATACTCGATCATCAGTCGAATCTGCATATATCAACCAGTTGCAACACGTCATAATCAATATGGATTATATTTCTCATCAATAGATCATGACGGCTAGTCAATACAATCACCAACATATCGATGTGTGTTGACTGGTGGTTACAACTCGTCAATTGCATCCAATGTTATAGGTGATGCACATCTCATTACTGCAAATCAACAGCTTGTCCAGCAAACAGTTATGCCGCTATTGAACACTGTTGGACATTACGCTTGTCAAGCATATCATAGTGTCGTTCAAGTTTGGACAATGATATCCAATAGTTTGTACTGTGGAACACTCGGCTATACAACAATCAATGTTGTTCATTATCGATCAAGTAATCAGCGGTATTTAATCGTATAATTCAAATCTTCATTCAATCATTGATTGCTGATTCCTGTACGATAAACACATTTCAACATGTTGATTAAAGTTGGTTTTGGCAGTGTCTTGTATGACTGATACAATACTGATGCAGTGTTGTGTGCTTTGATATAATATGATATATAGCGGTATATTTATTACTAATGTTTTGAGCTGATGTGGCAAATATTGCTTTGATGGCCGCATTATTATCAGTAATCCTCGTATATGGTTTGTACTGGCCATCACTACCAAAAAGCATCAACCACGTACTAGTTGTGACAATGCAGCTCGATACGGTCCATTATTGTAAATATGTTTAGACTACTAAACACATCTATTGTTGTAGTCATCCGAGTAAACCCAGAGTATTCTTTCAAAAACAGCGCATCACCAACCAGTTACTCGACATGTTTGAGTAGATATTGGTGTTGTAGTTTGGACCGCATTCAAACTCATGTATTTCGTTTAGACCAAAATTTAATCACACAAAGATCTAATCTGCCAATGGTTCATGTGTGGTAGATACTGATATAGTTGATTGAGCTGATATTTTATATCTGATTGAGTAGTTTGAAATATAACACCAGACGCAAGTTTAGTAATATCACCGAGATGGCATCACAAGTGATCTAGCAGTATTATCCTACACTCCAGCAATTATATTATACTTGCATTGCTGACATTCGAACTTGCAACACAACTTGTCTAGAATAATACTCCAGTCGCTATTGAATTGTGTTGACCAAACTAAACGGGAGTCCACAATTGTCATATTCCAATATGCATTTACAGCATATTACTATCAAAGTTTAAATGGATCAGGGTCAGGGTTGTGATCGAGCTGTATTGAACAAGCAAAACAGATATTCCAGTAACGGATATTTTATCCTGACATTTGGACACCCTGACCATTAAAACCAAAAGCATCCTTTAAGCCCTGCTTGTTGTTGTTTTGCGGAATCTATGCTCACAATCAGGCCGCTCCACAATCCGGTGTTTGAATGCACTGCTAAACAGTGCCTAAAAGCATGTGCACTTTGTTTGACTGAAATGTGCAAGTAAATGTAGTTTACTTGGCGTCATACTGGTTTAGTTTAGTCTCCCTTTGTTGTGATCACAAGTACGATTTTCCTGATTGTTCCAGGCAAATTTGTAATATAAAAAGACAGGGTTTACCAAGATTTTAAACTCATCAAACATCATCTCGATCTACTCCAATCCAATCCAATCCAATCTAATCCAACCAACTATGCAATTCACTATCGTCGCATTCATTACTGCTCTTGTCGCATGTGTCGCTGCTACTCCTAGTCCACTTACTGCTCCACGTCGTTGCATTGATGACACAGATTGTCACACAGGACAAAGATGCGACATTGCTATTAACGGTGGATCAGGACACTGCGTTGATGAATAAATGTTTTGGTTATATTTGTGTGCCAGCATTCGTTCTAGAGCCTGTTCAAGTTGCATCAACTAGCTTAAACTTGAATTTTGGAATGAATAAACTCCATTTTACAATGATATTTGGCTGATATTGTATAACATGACTTTGCATAGATTTAATCACGAACGGTTGTTTTGTGTTGAGTGGCTTTGTATAGTAACGATCCAAACTGTTGAGCCTGATTGATCAGCATATAAAACGTGAATATGATAACTTGTGCAGGTTTAGAAACGCATACTGTGATATTCACCAGTATTGATGTTCCAGATTGCAACCAAAAACTGGCAGTTTTTGTACCATACTATCACTCATGAATGCAGAATGATTGGACACGATTATATTGTTTTGGTCGTCAATCTATCAAATAAACCTTGTTTGTAAATAATCGGAAATTGTGAGTCGATTACTAAAATGGTTTCATTTTAAACAAATGCAGGCTTAATAATAAATTCAGTTTCAGCAAACTGTTTTATAATTGTTTGTTGTTTTTAAAACGCAATAGTCCAAAATAAGCTTTATATTGGCACTCACAATTTCCGATTATTTACGAACAAGGTTTATTTGATAGATTGACGATCAAAATAATATAATCGTGTCCAATCAT